AGCAGCTCACTATGCTGCTGCAGTAAGCTTGCCATTCCCCCACTGGGGGCAGGGGGTTGCCTGCTTTCAGGGCCCCTGATCTGCCATCTTGGATCCAGCTGACAGGGGGAACCCCACCCCCAAAGTGCCATGTTTGCGCCAACGTGCCCAGCGCAATGACACCTAGAGGTGACGTCATCGCACAAGGCATGTTGCAGGAGGACGCTGTATTGTTTGAGGAAAAGCTCTATGGTTTTTCCTCAAATGATAGAGGCCCCGCCCACAATGCGCCCTGTGTGATGATGTCACTTCTGGGTGATGTCATCTCGACATACATGTGAAGTATGTGTGCTAAAGAAGTCCCGGACCAGGAGAGGAAAACCCCCACCAGCAGCCAGGTAAGACCTGGCAACCCTATGCTGCAGGCCTGATCAGGATGAGGCCCTTGTGGTATTTTTTAACTCTCTTTAAAATGGTGTCAGCATCCACAGGACAGCCCCATGGTCACTGTCACATCTGGTTTGGCCTTAAGTTACTCAGTGCATGGTTTCAGTGGTTCTAGGGAAAAAAGCCCACAGGAAAAAAGCCCACAGAAAAAAACCCACCGTCCTAAATGCTCACAGAAAAAATGCCCACATGGAAAAAAGCCCACACGGAAAAAAGCCCATATACATAAAAGCCCACACGGAAAAAAGCCCACGTGGAAAAATACCATGTAAAGCGCCATAGATATTTATAATTGTGGATAACCATTCATCTCCATTTATGAGAGTGAACAGATATTACCTGTATTCACGTGCCACAATTTGTGTTGTGATTTTATCTAGTATAATTAAATAATAATTTTGCTATTTTATTAGGTGACCTGCCTGTGCATTAGCCAGTGTTAGTTTGTGGCAAGTGAGGCGCTTTACATGGTATTTTTCCACGTGGGCTTTTTTCCATGTGGGTTTTTTTCCTGTGGGCTTTTTTGCCGGTCACCGGTTTCAGTGTATATGATCTGGGCATATTATAGATATATATGGGGTGGTCCTATCTATGAATGTGATACCCATTCACATGTAGGGTTACCAACCCTGAGCTGGGAAGTTCCTAGAGATTTGGAGATGGTTGGAGTTTGGGGAGGGAAAGGACCCCAGCAGGCCAATATGCCATAGAATCCAACCTCCAAAGCAGCCCTTTTTTGTAGGGGAACTGATCTATGTAGTCTGGAGATCAGCTGTAATTCTGAGAGATCTTCAGGCTCCACCTGGAAGCTGGCAACCCTATAAAAGAAGAAACTCTGCTATCAGTATTTCTATCTGCATTCCCTGGTTTGAACTACAGTGAAATTATTGTATGGATGTTCTGTACCAACACTGTTGTAAGATATCATCAGACTTATCAGAATGAACTTGCAAATGGGCGTGATATGAGCTCAGTTACATCAGAATTCAGTAAGGTGTTGAGTGCCATCTGCCCAGAGCTGCTTTAAATCTCCAAGTACATCCTGGTGCCAAGAGTTTCATGCACACCCTCTGATAATATCAGACTTAAGACAGGCGAAGTCAGCATTATCTTTATATTTTCTGAAGACATCTTTTGTTTCAGGATGGCCTTTTGAAGTTTTTGGCAGCAACAGAGGCAGAAGATTACAGAGATCCCTCTGTGTTTGAACTGCTGTCATTCTGTGCCATGGTTTTATATGCCTAAGTCAGAAGTCACCAACCTTTTTGAGCCTGCAGGCACCTTTGGAATTTTGACACAGGGTCATGGGCACAACTATAAAATGACTGCCACTGTGGCCAATCAGAAGCCCTGCTGGGCACAAGCCCTACTTGGTCTACCTGGCCCTGCCCTCTTGATAGATGACAGGAAGGGTTTAGGTGGGCACCAACATTGGGGCCCTCTGGTGTAAGTCCTTTTGGTTTTAATAGCCCTGAAAGCACATGAGCGCTACACTCTCAAATCTGATGAAATCAGTGGTCATCAAAATACATTCTTTTGGTGACATATAACACCTAGAAAGAGAGGTCATGAGGCAGGTGGGGCCTTCTTTCAGCTACCAGACAAGACACGGGTGACTCTAATGAGCCCTAGCACAAGTTCCTCATTGATTCATGCTGGATATGTGGAGCTGACTTCTCACCCCACTTGCCTTTTTATTTCACCCTGATTTGAACAGAGCTACTATTCAATAAAGGAAGCCACAACCTTTGCAAAACCTGAGCAAGGCTGTCCATGATTGGACATTTGGAAGGTCTTTATTTCATAGGTTTGCCATAAGTCAGAAGCAACTATACACTACTTTGTTTAATGACTTTCCCCATGAGGACATTTATGAAGGGGTAGAGGTGTACTTTTCTATTTCTTATCTAATGTTTCTGTTCAATTAATGCTACGGACAGTTAACAGCTACGGTCATAGAATGCAGCAGTCAGCCACATGTGTATGATGTGCAAGGGTGTCTTCATGTGAGCGTGTGGAGCTTTGGCTGCAGTCAGACGACAGGTCATGTCTCTATTTTATCCGGTGTTATTTGTTCCAGAGTGGTTTCTCAAAACATGCCATCCTTAATCCACCTCACCGTGCACTCACTCCATTAATAAACATTCAGATTATTGCTACGTGGTAACCATGGAGTGGGCAGGCAGACAGCATCCTTTTTTAAAATTCTCTTTTACGTATGTGCAGAAGTGTTCATTCGAAGCACCACTCCATTTTGACAGCTCCACAGTCCCTCTACCAAGTACTGTGGTCCCCCTCAGCTTCCTTTTGCTTCGCCTCTCTTCCTTGGAATACATGGGGGGGGAGTGTAAGCATCATGCAGATTTACATGAGAGTATCCCCATTGACTTCAGTACATGTACTCTTGTGTCAGTCGTGGGATGTTCTCAAACAGCAACTCCGAAGCCTAGATTTTTAAAAATTTTCCAGCTTTACCCAAGTCTTCCTGCATTAGGGATGCCAGCCTCCCCAGGCTCCCTACCTACATGGGAGCCTAACTAGGGACTATTTCCACAGCTTTCCAACCCCAAGAAACATGAGAGAGGGTTTGGGAGGGGGATTTGTTGCTAAAAACAACTCCTCTGGGGAGCTCCCAATCTATTTTATCCGGTGTTATTTGTTCCAGAGTGGTTTCTCAAAACATGCCATCCTTAATCCACCTCACCGTGCACTCACTCCATTAATAAACATTCAGATTATTGCTACGTGGTAACCATGGAGTGGGCAGGCAGACAGCATCCTTTTTTAAAATTCTCTTTTACGTATGTGCAGAAGTGTTCATTCGAAGCACCACTCCATTTTGACAGCTCCACAGTCCCTCTACCAAGTACTGTGGTCCCCCTCAGCTTCCTTTTGCTTCGCCTCTCTTCCTTGGAATACATGGGGGGGGAGTGTAAGCATCATGCAGATTTACATGAGAGTATCCCCATTGACTTCAGTACATGTACTCTTGTGTCAGTCGTGGGATGTTCTCAAACAGCAACTCCGAAGCCTAGATTTTTAAAAATTTTCCAGCTTTACCCAAGTCTTCCTGCATTAGGGATGCCAGCCTCCCCAGGCTCCCTACCTACATGGGAGCCTAACTAGGGACTATTTCCACAGCTTTCCAACCCCAAGAAACATGAGAGAGGGTTTGGGAGGGGGATTTGTTGCTAAAAACAACTCCTCTGGGGAGCTCCCAATCCTGACAGAACGTTTGGGTGCAGAAACACACAAGCAGTGATTCAAAACCCTGAGGCAAAGATCTGCTTATGCACACATCGCTAACTGAATTTTTAAAAATGGTATGCAGACAGAAGTGTGTGATCTGACTTACCAAATGGCTTGAGTTCGCAAGAAAGAGATCAGACATCATGAAATGCGTGGGGAGACCAGTTCAATCTGTAAAGATCAGACTTTCTCCCATGTCAGGAAAGCTGGGGGTGAGAACAGGGCACCAACAACTGAGGAATGGGATACAGATGTCACTGTGTGAACGAGCATTTTTAATATGGAGGGGAGAAACAACAACATTAGATCAAACAGCTCATCTGATCACAGCCATAGTGTGGGGGCTAAATGTACATTATATTTAGAAAATAGGTTCGGAGCTCAAAAAGTTTAATAAACTATTCATATGATAATCTTGCTAATATATATTGCTTTCAGTATTAGTATTTCTTCTGTCTAAAACTTTCCATCCCTAAACACAAAATAGTACCACTTTGGATGGCTGATTGTTTTAGTTGTTGCAAAAGTTGTGTTTCAGAAGAAAGAATGCTATGAATGCCCATTAATAACAAGAGAATGCAGTAGGCATGACAAACAGGAGAACATTTGTGGAGATTCACCTTTTTGTGGGAGACAATATACTTAGAGACCACCCTTGCTAGGAATAGGGAATGGATGAGGATGAGGATACACTCATCAGTATCTAAAATTGAACTGGGAACATTGTACCAAGACCAAAATTGTGGTGGTGTTCTTGACGATGTTTGGCAAAACCTACTTGGTATCCTGTATATGCAACAATGTATGTCCATGTCTGATTGTTACAATCTCTTGTTGCATGTATGTTACAATCTACGAACAGATTTCCTATCCTAATTTATTAATTTGTGATGGCACTGGGGCCAGGAAGGACTTGTTCCCAGGTCTGGTTAGCTACTGGCTTGGGGAAAGGGCATTGTTTGCCCTACAACATATTGCTTTGCTTACTTTCTTTAGCCTTCTGATATGCATAATAACCAAGCACCTCTGATCCAGCCATCTTATTTGCTCTTATTATCCACTTTTAACAATTTAGACTCATACAGGATAATCTATGGGAGCACTGATTTATAGGTCCTGTTACACAGTGTGTAATACAGAGGAGGTTGAGTCTGGTGGTGTTCAGGATTCTTCCAACACTGTTTCAGAGTAATGTAATAAAACATGTATATCAGTGCTTACTGCAAATATCAAAAATGTTGATGCCAGCTTTTTTAGCATAATGACTTTTTAACTCCAAAACATTTCATTGATTTTTCTTTAAATGTACATATTCCTCATTATAGGACACCTTCTTGGACTTTCCCATGACGACTCCAAATTCTGTGAGGAGAATTTTGGTTCCATGGAAGATAAGCGACTTATGTCTTCCATCTTAACAAGCATTGATGCTTCCAAACCATGGTCTAAATGCACATCAGCAACAATAACAGAATTTCTGGATGATGGCCATGGTATGTATGAATCTTTGCACTGGATAGCATGCTGAAATTTGTCTACCTCTTGGACTTTTACATTATTTTAAAATAGAACTCTAATATGTTTATTGTGTTCATTGTAGTTACTTTAACACTTCATTCACTCTTTTTTGGTACTGCTTAATGACTACAGACCCTTCTTTGAACATAAGAGAAGCCAATGTTGGATCAGGCCAATGGCCCATCCAGTCCAACACTCTGTCACACAGTGGCCAAAACTACCAGGTGCCATCAGGAGGTCCACCAGTTGGGCCAGGACACTAGAGGCCCTCCCACTGTTGCCCCCCCTCCCCAAACACCAAGAATACAGAGCATCACTTGCCCCAGACCAAGAGTTCCTATCTATACTTTCTGGCTAATGACCACTGATGGACCTCTGCTCCATATGTTTATCCAATCCCCTCTTGAAGCTGTCCATTCTTGTAGCCACCACCACCTCCTGTGGCTGTGAATTCTATGTGTTAATCACTCTTTGGGGGAAGAAGTACTTCCTTTTATCCATTCTAGCCCAACTGCTCAGCAATTTCATTGAGTGCTCACAAATTCTTGTATTGTGAAAAAGGGAGAAAAGTACTTCTTTCTCGACCTGCTCTATCCCATGCATAATCTTATAAACCTCAATCATGTCACCCCTCAGCCATCATTTCTCCAAACTAAAGAGCCCCAAGCGCTTTAACCTTTTATCATTCTAGTTGCCCTTTTCTGCAATTTTTCCAATGCGATAATTTCCTTTCTGAGGTGTGGTGACCAGAATTGCCCACAGTATTCCAAATGAGGTCACACCATCAATTTATACAGGGACATTATGATACTGGCTGATTTGTTTTCAGTTCCCTTCCTAATAATCCCCAGCATAGGGTTGGACTGTTTTATTGCAGTCACACACTGTTTCGGCATTTTCAGTGAGTTAATCTACTACGACTCCAAGATCTCTCTCTTGGTCAGTCTCTGCCAGTTCAGACCCCATCAATGTGTATTTTCAGTTAGGATTTTTGTCCCCAATGTGCATCAGTTTGCACTTGGCCACATTGAACCCCATTTGCCATGTTGACACCCACTCACCCATCCTCGGCAGATCCCATTGGAGTGCCTCACAATCCTCCCTGGTTTTCACCACCCTGAACAATTTCATGTCATCCGCAAATTTAGCCACTTCACTGCTTACTCCCAACTGCAAATCATTAATGAACTACTTAAAAAGCATCAGTCTCAGTATTGAGCCCTGTGATACCCCACTGCTTACCACCCTCCACTGTGAAAATAGCCCATTCATACTCACTCTCTGTTTCCTATTAATTAGCCAGTTTTTATCCACAAGAAAACTTGTCCCTTTATCCCATGACTGTTGAGCTTATTTAGTAGCCTTTGATGAGGCTCCCACTGTACTAAATACTGTACTGTAATAGTAATTAGCAGTGAGTAGTAGATAGTAGTAGTAATAACAACAGTAGGTAGTAAGCAGTAATAAATAGTAGTAATAGTAGAGGCTATAGATTATGAAGTAATATGACTATGCACAGCACAGCATTTTACAACAGAGTGCTTTATAATCCTTTTTCATATAGAAACCATGTGAAGTATGCTACTGTTTTCTTTAGTTTATAATTAGATATACTTTGTAGTTGAGTAGCATGACTTGTTCATGGCTATACAAGGGTTAAGTACACATTTCACTAGCAGACTCTTCATCTCTCAGACAGATGGCCTCTGATTCAAAGAATAGTTAGCTTAATTTATTTAGCTAACATTAGTATTCCAATATTCTTTACCAAATTCTCCTTAAGAACAACAAAATGCTCTTAAAATTCTTCACGGTGTTCTGAAAGCAATTGCAGTTCTTAAGCAATCAGTTCAAATTCCAGAATGCTTAGATAAAGGTGACCTAACTGAACAAATGGATCCAGTTGTTATGGCAACTTAAATACTTATGGATGAAAAACATACTTTATGCATGCGGAACTTCTAAAAAGCACAGTTGTGTGGGATGGTTTCAGCACTGTCTGCAGTCAGATGTTTCGTCCCATTCTTGTGCATTGATAATGAATGTTCTGCTATTTTGTTAGGCAGCTATAACTCATCTTTAGTGTTTTTTCCTATATTGTTTCTATATTGCTGTGGGCTCTTTTTGTAGCAGGAGCTCCTTTGCCTATTAGGCCACACACCCCTAATGTAGCCAATCCTCCAAGAGCTTACAGAGCTCTTCTTACAGGAGCTACTGTAAGCTCTTGGAGGATTGGCTACATTAGGGGTGTGTCGCTTAATATGCAAATGAGTACCTGCTACAAAAAGAGCCTATCGAATGGTGCCAACATAAACTAGTTACAGTTCTATCCTTGGTTTGGATCCTAAGCATCTTCTTTAAGTGTGCTTTGTGCCTTTGTAGCTCATTAAAAGATACTGGCCTTGCATAAGCAGAAACCCCTGGGTCAAAGAAACACACTGTGCAATGGGAGGGAAGGGGAACTGCTACCACAGTGGAAAAAAGCTCAGTACAAGTGGAAGTAAGCCTTAGGATCGAAGCCCTAGAGTTACACAGACTGGATGAAGATAGGATTATTCCTAAATTCCTTATAATGAGTCACTTCCAGTTACACTGGTATGGTGAAGTTAAATTAGTGCTGTTAATTCTTTGCACTTCTAAGGGCCTAAACATGATTCCCCCCCCCCCCCAACATGGTCAATGTTCCCTCTAAGCTCCACAGTATTGTTGAAGCAGGACAGAGTAAAACAAAAGCTTGAGCCCACAGAACTCCAGACTACCAGGCAGGCAAGAGGAGAGATAAAGTTTATTGACGTCAAGGTGCGCCGAGGCCAAGAGCTCTAAAACTGGCTGCACACCTGACAAAGGACCTCGAGGAGTTTTATACACACTAATTATGCAGAGTACACGTCATAAACATTTTAAGCAATTTAAACATAGGCAATAGGAAAACTAAAAGTTTACAGAGCAAAAGAGAAGTTTCTTGCAAATTCTTTCCTATTTCACACACTTTCTCTGGGGCTTATCTCTTTTAGCAAGCATTTTCAGTTAGGTTTCATCATCTAATGCACCTGCTTCCTCAAAAACCTTACCGAAAGACAGTTTCCATAGCTTACTGGAGCAAATTTCTTAACCAAAGATACTGGCAGGATGCGGCTAAGCTTCCTGTTGTTGGATCTTAGTCGAGTGGGTGAGAAAGGTGGGGGCAGATTGCAGAGAGTATCTATTTCAGATGTCTGATGACTTTTGAGTCTGAGCAAAAGGGTTTTAATCATAAGGCCTGTCCCCCATAGGAATTTTCTATATGTTCCTTCATTGTGAGCAAAAATTCTATATTGGTAGACCTGGCCTTGGATGGTCACCCTACGTTGACCCGTCAAAAATATACCAGCACTCGGGGGGGGGGGAGTCTACTTTGGGTTTTTTGGTGAAATATGACAACCAGCATTACAGGCCAAGTATAACGGAGGTGGAAAAATCACTGTCAGAACCCAGCCTAACCTAACAAACAGGAAGTTGCTTAAATGTTACCAACCTGTCCAAACTACGTATTTATTCAAATATTTATATCCCACTTTTCCCTGTTACTCAAGGCAGCTTACAGGTCATACTGAAAAGCATAACAGGGGTGTGCAAAAAAATCACCTCCCCCCTGCAGTTTTCCTGACACAAAATGGCACCCAGGGGGCTTTACTTGCCCCATTGGAGGGATACACATGCAAACTTTAAGTGTATGCATAGCTGCCATTTGGGGGTCTAGAAAATGATATGATAGAGAGGCGGGAGTACCTTCTCCCCCTGAACAATGGTACTAATCAGAATTGGGCCTATGCAGTACTTTTTAAATGGAGTTGCCACTGGAGATTCACAGCTGCAATATAGCTACTAGTCCCTGTTTGAAACTCATGAAAAATATAATGTCTACTTTGGCCCCTTTGTCCTGGTGGTATTCTGATTTCAAAAGCAAAGCAGAAAGGGGGAACAAATGGGTAGAAGTGGTGGTATGGCAAAGGGGAAGATCAGTGGTGTGGCCAGCTTAATCTGAATCCTATTGTCTCCCAAAGGTAGGTTTCATCTCATCTGCTGTGGGAGTCAGTGGGCCTGGGGGGTGCCATCAGCACAATGCCATTATGTTACTTTTAGGGGAAAGCCAGAAGTGATGTCATGATGCTCTAGGAATTGCATACATGAAACCATAGATTTTCTGACAACTACTAGAGTGGAATGTCATCGCATCCAGGTCCCCTTCCCATGTGATGTAACATCTTCCTGCCAATAGTGTAGTAGAGGTGAGCAGCGGGGGTTTCTAGCAGGAGGTCTCCTGCCATATGGAGCTGCGGTGGCTCAAGTGGTTAAGACACTGAACTGCATGCTGTGGAAGGTCAGTAGTTCAGCCGCATGACGGAGTGAGCTCCCGTCTCTAGTTCCAGCTCCTGCCAACCTAGCAGTTCGAAAGCAAGAAATTGCAAGTAGATAAATAGGTACCACTTCAGTGGGAAGGTAACAGCGTTTCGTGTGCCTTGGTGTTTAGTCATGCCAGCCACATGACCATGGAAACGTCTTCGGACAGCGCTGGCTCTTCGGCTTTGAAACGGAGATGAGCACCGCACCCCTAGAGTCGGATTCGACTGGCTTTCAAGCAAGGGAACCTTTACCGTTATCTTACCTCCTGCCATAATGGGAGGCCTAGCAGCCCTATTTATTCCTCTTAGCAGGTGGATAGATAGGGAAAGGTGCACAGAATTGCTTGTCACCTTATTCAGATGTACTTAGGGTTGTCAACTCTGGGTTGGGAAATTCCTGCAGATGTTGGGGTTGGAGTTTGAGGAAGGTGGGGGTTGGGGAGGGGAGGGAGGGACCTCAGCATGTTATAGTGTCATAGAGTCCACCCTCCAAAGGAGACATTTACTCTAGGCGAACTGATCTCTGCAGTCTGTAGTCTGGAGGTATAATGATGGGAGATCTCTAGGACCCTAGGAGATCAAAAAGAGCTGTG